ATGGGCTTTTGAGAAATTATAAACACAAATAGAAGATGCCTAATGCAATTCACACATTTCCAATTATTCTAACTAGCCGGAAATCTTTTTACAGAATAGGCCTCACCCTCGTTTTGACTAGTCTAATTTTATAGAGGTTTGTCATCCAGGTCAGCCCAGCAAGCATTCCTAATATAGACCAGAGAGAAGATGCTTTTGTAAGTACAGCCAGTGCTCGTTCCCCCCATAAAGTTCTACAAGTCATAGCATTTTTCTGAAATTTGTATTACACAAGCCCTTTTGCAATGCAGATGCAAGCCTAAGATGAGATTTGACACAAGTTCTTGTAACTGTAAATGACAAAGTTTATAACATAACATGCTGTCTACTAATTTTGAATACATATTAGTTCTTTCTGTGATAATCCACTCTCATACACAGCATTACTGTACCCTCTGATGCACACATGCTACTGAAACCTGGACTAGACCAGGGGTTTGTAGCAATATCAACAGTTTCTATGCAAAACAATTCCATGAAGGTAGTGTCATCTCGCTGAATATGAAGTAAACCTTTCACTAGGCTTGTTCCCGAAGAGCTATTAAGAAAAGGCAGTTTGTGCTCAAGGAAGATAAGGACACCTTCTGAACAAACTGGTTTGGCTAGTCAGCTATCCTGCTGCTAAAGCTAGCATATCCCAGTGATTTCAATGATACATGGATACCTAAATGCAAAAGTCAGCCCTGAGGACCATATAGGCATTGTGTGACACTCCCCAAAAGTCTCTCTTTATAAATTAACAAATAAATTACAATTGACTACTCTGATTGTAAAGTCTCCAGGGCATTGATTTTGATTTTCTATTTATCTAGAAATCTCTTAATATAGTCTTAATGCAAGAAAAAACATATTTGTATTTACTATCACTTCAGTGCCTAGCTTGTTCACCATGCACACACGCTTCATTGAGGGGCCAATCTCTTTTGTAATATTTTGCACAGTCACTGCATTTTGTAGACTGCCTGAATTAAGGAGATGCTAGTATTTTCCTTCCCTTCCCTATTTGTCAGAAATTGCTCTTGATGATGGGACTTGGGTTTTGTTCTTCATCATTCACACACTGGAGTAAGAACAGGTCTATACTCAAGACTATTTATTTCTATTATCTCACCAAATTGAGCTGTATCAGTATCTAAGTTGCCATATCTCTAACTGCATTTACCATGAAGACTACACAGATTTTAGTTTCCAAATCCAAAAAAAGTTTGGTCACTTACCAGGGAGAATAAAAAATAATAAATGGTTGCATAGACAAGACTTCAAATAATAAATACCTAAACACACATATTAGCTCCCTTATCCACATAGAAAATTCCACTTTTATCAGTGATAATACAAATACAGGAATGAGAGAACAGTGTACCAGCAACTCTGGGACTGTAACAGTAGCATGCAACACCTGGTACCTGGTACGAGGCAGGTGGAGACCATGACTCCTCAGCCAAGCTGTGGATGTGTGGGCAGCTGCCTGCTCCTGGGAGGCCCCTACGCTCACTCCCACTGCAGGCGCATCTCACAGGCATCTCCTGCCAGATCTCTGCTCCCACAGAGCAGTGGCCAGGTTACACTGAAGTGCATCTGGAAAGGCACTGGATACTTGCACAATCAAGCTCTACACAATCCACATAGACTAGTCTATTTGTGTACATATGTCAAAATTAAGCACAGAATAATATACCGTCCAGAAACTACAAGACGATGTAAAGGACAGCAATGCACAATATAAGTACAGACACAGCCTGCCTGTAAACACCGCACAGGATATTAAATGAAGCTTTTTCATTTCATGTGAAAATGAATACTTCAACATCTCTAAAGAACTTAGTCCTTTGCTTTCCAGAAAGCAATGTAAGACACCAGGTACACAGAAAGCTATCACAGTTAACTTCAGCAGCTGCCGAGCTGCCCAGCATGCTCACATGCACACTCCCAACGTGGAGCGGCACACTGCCATCCCACAACGGCTGCAGCTACAGATCAAAACTAGAGATATAAAGTCAATAGAGAAGAACAAAAAGCAGTTTGCTGAACTGTAGCACTGTTAACAAGCATTGACACACAAAAAGGACATGGGTCAAATACATCCAGTGTAAGTGGTATGCCAGCTATCATAAGTATTTATCTCAGGTACCACCAAGCAGGCCATCCACGTTAGTGGAAATCCGGATTAGTTCCTCTGTGGTTAATGCGGGTCAATATCAGAGCAGGTAGATTGAGGTGGGTATTGATCCCTGTGAGTGTACTTCAGTTTTGAGCAATGCTGTTTGTTTCTAGAATATGCTCAATTAGGGGGTTTTTTGTATACTCATGACTACAGTGTTATAACTAAACCAGTTTTCTCTCATGCATATTCAAAAAACTCATTCTTAAATTTTGGGAAAAGACAATTTCCATTCAAACATTATGTTGATTAGATTCTATAGGCCGATTCTCTGACATTCTTCTAACAAAAACATTTGTCCAGGCACTATTTTTTTTTGAGACATCTCCTTTTGCAAATGGAATCAATCAGGTTGAAATTTTAAATAGCGTGATCTCCTACGCAATTTGAACTTCTAAAATTTGGTCTTAAAACTCAAGAGTTTTGCATATATATATGAAAGCACATTTACTTTCAAAATTGCTCTGAATTTTGATGTTAGGTCCTATCATTTGACCAAGCAGACAGTCCCCAACATGTGCTGACACTCTGTTACCTGTTGGGCCTGTTGCTTTAAATCTGCATCTCACAATTCTCAAATGCGCTTCATTTTGTACTCCTGAGTAATTTTCTTACTTATCTTCAAGTGTGGGGTGAAACAGTGAAACTAATAAAGATCAATGAATCAATTAATGCTTCCTGAAGAAATCCTTCTGCCTTCACCTCTGCCACTGAGCCTCCAGCTCTTACCAGAGGAACAGTTACTTGCTGACACAACATCCCAAGAATAATCTCCATTGGGTTTATCACTTAGCTGTTGATTATTTAGTAATCCTCAAATAACTGGCACCCTACTAAGTTTATGAGACACAGAATTAAACACTATAAATAAGGTATTTCTCCTCACACTTCTCACAGGGCATGTACACCTGAGACTGCACCTCAAAAGACTTTTAACACAGGCAGAGTAGATGGAGTCACTTTGCTTCTCATCAGTTTCAAAAGGTGAGGAAAAATAAATAAATAAAAAGAAAACCGGGAAGAAAAAACTGCCTACGTTACATCAACAACACGTATCAACTTGATTTCTGGAACAAGAGAATCTCTCCGCTTTTTAAAGGTTGTGCAACCAGTTCTTTTGGACGGGGTGTTTCTCACTTTCAGGGCGGCTTTACTATCCACAGTCACGAAAGACTAACTCAGTTACTATAAGGCATGCACCAGACCTTCTAAAAACTAATAATTCTCTTCTCCCGCTTTTTCTTTAAAAAAGAATGAAAGGGAAAAAAAAAATCAAACCACCCAAATCTGCATTTTTTCCCTGGCTGGCAGATTTCCAAGATAAAGAGGACTGCTCTCCGGCTGGAACAGCAGCCGGGGCCTGCTCTCTAAACTCACAAAAGAGAACACCACACACAGAGAAAAAGCGACGGGTCTGACCGGCCAGAAACGTTTTCTCACCCTCTAAAGCAGTTTCTCAAATGAAAAAGGAAAACCCGACCATCAGCCCCACGCCCCTAGCCCCAGAGCCAGCCCGCGCCGTGCTGTTCCCACGCACCGCCAGACTGGGGCTGGCAGCGCCGGCAGGGTCGGGACGGGACGGAACGGCGGCTCCTTCGCGCCGGGTCGGGCCGGGATAAATCGCTCCTGTTTTGCGTAACTGGGGAACCAGAACCCACATGAAGTTTCCCCTCTTTGCAGTCACCCCAGTCCCAGGTGCATATTTTTTTTCTATTATTAGTATTATCTTTTAACAGGACAAGCGGAGGAGTCCAGGTCAGAGCGACGGCGGGTTACCGGAGCGGTGCTTACTCGGGAACTACGCGGCTTTTCCCCGCCGCCACGGCGCGGGGGTGCCGGGAGCGGCGGTGCGGGGCTGAGCCGGGGAGCGCGCTCCGGGGAGCGATTGGGCAACGTGGGAAGGGGGGAGGAAGAAAAAGAAACACCAAAAGGAAAGAAGCACAAACGATGAGATGTGCCAAGGCTTATTCCCATTTATTTCCTCCACCCCCACAAAAGAAAATAAGCCGAGAATCAGGAAGTCAGGGCTGCGTGATCGCTGTTACAGCTTTGGTTTTCTTCCTTTTTCTCCTCTTTCTGTGTTTTTGGATAGATGGGTTTTTTGGTGCTTGGTTTTTTGGTTGGTTTTGGTTTGGTTTTTTTTAAGGAAAAAAAGTAGTTGGACTTTCCCCTCCGCTCCCCACGGCAGTCTCCCGGGGCGCAGCCGGCAAAGCGGCGGCAGGACCCCCGCGCCCCGGCCCCCCGCGCCCTCCTACCTTTCTTTCCCTCCACGGCGAGACAGAGAGCGAGGCGCCCCAGCAGCAGCACCAGGACAGCGGCCCCGCGGGGCCCGGCAGCGGCGAGGGGGCTGCGGCCGCCCATACTTCGGGACCGCCGCTCCCTCGGCGAAGTGGGTGGGGGGTCGGACGGGACGGGCGCACGGAGGATTCCGCGGAGCCGCTCCTGCTCTGCTCCTCTCTTCTCCCGCGGCCGCGCTCAGCTCCTCTCCGGCGCTCTGCCCTGCGCGGCTCCGAGCAGCATGCTGGAGGGCGACCGTCGAGGTCTGCGCGCACACGTGCGTGCCCCGCTGCGGGCGGGCTGCTGCCTTCCTCCTCCTCCTCCTTCTCCTCCCCCCTCTGCTCCTCCTGCTGCAGGCGGTGGCGGGTGCGCAGGGGCTTGCGGAGCGGTTGGAGCCGGCTGTGGGACGGGGTGCGCCCAGCTGCGCTCTCTGCTCACTCGCGGAGCACAGGGGCTCCCTCTGGGGACGCCGAGCAGGAGGAGGAGGAGGATTGGGAGGGAGCAAGGAGGAGGGGGGAGGAGGAACTGGCGGCGCCTTCCCCGCCCAGGTGGAGAAGGGGTGGACACGCCACCTGTCCCGGAATATGGCGTGAAAGGAGGTATGAGTGGGGTGGAGGTAGTTTAGTCGTTCGTCCTTGCTCGGAAGGGTGGGGGAGATTTTCTACTTCCCGGCAGCTTCTGTCCGGCAGCTGCCAAAGGCATGAGCGTGCATTTGCGCCGCTGCTCGCAAAAAAGCGGCGTGGCCCTGGCACAGCTTCTGTCTTCTCTCCCGGGAGTGTTGGCGGGGGGCAGAGGATTTGCGGGAGTGCGGGTGCCCCCGGGGGGCTGCAGCAGAAACGCTGTCCCGCCCCGTTCCTTAGGGAGAACTGTCCCCTAGCAGCGCCAGGTAGAGGAGTGCGAGCGAGGAAGGACTGAGGCGTTTTACCGGGGAGCAGTAGCGGCGAAGCCGCTCCGGAGGTTCGGTCCGCTCCCTAGGGGAGCATCTCCGGAGCTCCGGCCTCGTTTCTTCTCCCCGAAATCAGCGGAGCCCGCTTGGCCTCTGCGAATAGTCCTGCTCTCGTTCTGGGCATTTTGCTGCCAATACTTGCAAGGCCAAGTGTGTGGGTGAAATAAAACCGCGCTGAATTTGTGCGTTTTTAGCACACGAATAACAGGGGCGGTATCTGCCCATACCGTTTCTATTCCCCTGCCACCAGCAGTGAGAAAGTGCTCCTTGTTCCGCGTAGCAAGTTACTTAATGAACACACAATCATACAAGTTTTTTTGAGGTGCTCCAAGGACATCCACAGACATTAAACGAAAGAGAGCATTTACAGTGCTCTTTCCCCCCAGCGTGTTTTCCTCCAAGAGGCAAAACCAAGCTATTCAATGTTTATTAAAACGTGCTTATGGTTACAAGCTCTTTTTCTAACAGGCTGTTCCTCTGGAAAGTGGGAGGAAGCACTGTCTTGTCGCTCAGGTAAGTAAATAGGACATAAAAGTGCCACTTTTATGGGCTGGGATTTCTTCGAGTAAATGATTCAACACTCAAGCTTGTTAAATGATGGTGGGTAGTTTCTTCATAAAGTTCTTGAGAAGACCTGGGTTACACAGGCAATAGGATATGAAGTGTTAGAACTGTAATGATTAAGTGGGAACTCCAGAACTGAAGTCAGTAATGACATGAGGTTTGGGAAACTACGTGCCAAACGCCTGTGTCTGTCACAGGGCACTGGAACACAACAGATTGCAAAATAGCCACTGAGTGTACCTTGACTTTCGTCTGCTATGCATGTTCCTCCGGAGAGATACCTTACTCTTCTTCTACCAGTCAACTTCCTCTGTAAATCTTTTTTTCTGATAATTTAACTAGTTACTGTCTTAACCAGGCAAAGAAAACTACCAACTCATTTACTTATCCTAGCACCTGACCACCTTTAACCATGTATCATCCCACCATGCCTGTGATCGTTTATTAAGATGAATTGGGTTACAACTCAGCTTTTGAATGCTGTGGCTGACATTCTGGTTTGATTATATTTTGTAAATAATGTGAAAGATGTACTTCGAAGTAAACTCAGACATTAATAACATCCAAGGAACTCTACTCATGTGACTGGTTTCATGGTTGTAACTGAGGGCAGAACCTGAGCTTACAATACAATATTAATGCAATTTGCTTCAAAGATTCTCACACAGTGCAACTTTGTAAACACAATATGTGTGGTTCATTTTGATTTATTTAGACAAATAGGAGGATCTTTAAAAGTGAGAGACCCAGGAAAAAGAGATCAGCTTCTAGGGAGGGAAGATTTGCAAAGCATCCTCAGCACACACTGATGATTACAGCTTGCATTATAAGAAAGGAAGTGCAATTAAGATAACCAAGAAATGAACTTCAAATCAGTTCTGTACTAAATAAAAATGTGCCCCTAGATGTGGACATTGAGCATCAAGCTACCACTGTAGGAGGCAACAGAGTTTTTAAAATCTAGAAGAAGAAGGGATTCAAAGTGACAAATGAAAAACAAACTAAACATAGGAAAAAAAGAAAACATCTTTTGCATGTGAACTCAGTGGAGAAACTTGTCCAAGCCCTGTCCTAACATGCTAAAGAACAAATACTTGCTTTGCAGATTTTTTTTTGTGCAATTATGATTCTACCTGCTATACTGAGCAAGAACATTTCATACTTGCTTCACCTCCCATCACGTACTGTCCTTACATAAATGCACATAAACTCAAGTATTTGATCCAAACTAAACTCCTCCTTCATTGCCAGCATGGTAAGCAAGAAGAGACTAGGCAAATTCCCCTTTAATTTTTTTTCCCACACTGCAGGTATCCGCTACAGGATACTCTCATCTGCTGCTGGTAGTGCAGTACTGCTGAAGGGGCTGCACAGCAAGCTGCCGTAGATTCCGTCCTCCCACCTTCGTGAGCACAAATGTGTTATTTTTGTGGCATTGTGTTCTGCTTGCCAAGGTCATGAGATACATAAAGAGACTCTAAGACTGTGGTTTGAGAAGCTTATCACAGGCAGGAATTTCAGGCCTTGAACAGTTTCTGAAATGGTTTGAATTCAAACATGACATTTTCCCTAAACAGCTGGTCACATACCTGGTGACTGCCTTTGGTACAACTCCTTTAAATCTAACGAAATGACATGAATTTTACCAAGGGCATACAATATTCATGTTGCAAAACTTTTATTACCAACTGTATGTGTGCATGCATCAAAGGTCATGGGACAAAGGCCAGTCTTTTGACCACGAGTTTTTAAATTGATAGTTCATCGTGAGAATACTAAATACGATATCGTTTTTCAGCTTTCTTCTTACTTGCTTGCCTTATGGTATGTATATATCTCCTGTCTTCTATATATTAAGTGTAAACATGCTGACCTATGAAGTGAAGTCATAGGTAGCATGTAAGCTGGTAGTTGTTTCACATGAAGATACTTCTGGATTGCAGAATTTGGCTGCAATTGCTCACCACCACTTGCCTGCGCCACTAAGGTGATTACTTTGCCACATGTGGAGAGAAGCTGTTAAGAGGATGAATAACTGATTTTCCTATCAGTGGAAAAAGCAGGATTAATTCTTGTATCTCTTCCACATTCCCTCAAAAAAAGAATAGAGTCTCAAAATCCTCTCAAGAGTAAAGAAATCCCTGCTACTGGGTCCTTTCCTTAAATGAAACAAAAATGTGTTGTTTTTCGTTATCCACTGAGAGCGGGTCAGCATTTGCCCTCCTAAAAAATTCATCAGCAACCATTCCTGGATGGCAATGCAGTTCTTCTCTGTGTGTTGCAAAAGTGATTCTAAAGGGCAGGCCTTTTACTGGAAGAGGAGAAATGAAGTAGAGCTGAATTAGCAGGGGTTTAGAATCAATTTGCTCAGATTTTGCATGTTTTTTGAGATAGTTGACGTTGTATTTTGCACTGTAGTTTGTATTCTACTGAGGTTTTAAAGCAAGGGCTCAGGTAATAATTCATGGAGCTTTATGGCATTTTGCATGTTGAAAACGTTCCACAAACATTAACTGATTTATCTTTGCAAATTTCCTGTAAAGCAGGTTAGTAGCTATCATTTCCATTTTATAGATGTAAAATAATTTGCCTTGGGCAGAGCGTTAGTGGCAGAGCTAGGGTTATCACTCCAGAGCTATTCATTCTAAACATTCTGCTTAAGCCTTCTCATGCTGCTTCTAGAGACTGTCCCTGATGAAAAGGGATGCATTTTTACGCACTCAGATTCTCTCTCTCTCTTCTCTTAACAGTTTGTTTGTATAGCATCACTTAGAAAGGACAACAACAACAAACATATGAGTATTGAAATCACACATGGGTATTGAAATCAAACCTTAGTTATAGTAAATTGCACAGTCAGTATTTCAACACATGATCATAGTATTATCTCTGAAGGGTTCCTACATGTTCTTTATTTTTTTTCATGTCCAGGTTTTATCTGTCATCTCAGTCATGAAGTTCAGTGTTGCGTTTTTCAGGGAAAATATACTTAAATCAGGAACAGACTTTTAATATTATTTAAACTCTGTTGGGGATTTGCAGCACCAGCTCATATGCTAATGAAAGTAGGCAACAAAACAGTAAGTATAAAAATAAAACCTGTGTGGCTGTTGCATGGGAGAAAGTGTGAGCTATCTACTCTCTGAATTATGTCTTCTCCTTGAAAAGACTCCCAAATTTTGTCCAGTAGAAAGCAAAAAAAAACAAACTTGTTATATGCATTTTGATTAACGTCTAAAGTAATTATAAGAGAAAAAAGGGTATAGCAAATTCTTTCAGTATTGACGATAAACATTGCAATTGGTAACAAACTGAAAAATGTTATCAGGGTATCATAAGAATAACTATACCATATTGACAAAAATATGCAGATTTACTTGCCGTATAGTTAATCTTTCCCCCTCACAAAATCTCAGTTGAACTCCTGGGTAATATGGTGTCTCCATTGCCATCTAGTAGATATTTTCAAAGGGTAGAATACATTCCCTGCTTAAAAGCATCCATCCCTTTGGTGTTTGTAACTTCATGTAGGGACTACTGTGTTTTTTCACAAACTTTAACAAGTCCAAAACTGGGCATTTCTTACTGTGTTCTTACCTCACCAAGTTTTATAATTTGTATGGGTAAGGACATCAGGACTGATACTGTCATGGAATAAGGTATGTTATATACAAAATCTTTGTTACTAAACAGTACAACAACTTCCTACATAAAAACAAGATTCTGCCTTATTTCTGTACTTTGTTAAGGTGACTTACGCCGATATTGCTATGCTACATATAGTTCTTCACTCAACCAGAAATCATACAACTCTATGATTGCAGCACAGTTGAACATGCTTTCAATAAATCGGATGTCAGTAGAAGCAGAGCTAACACAGAATCACAGAATGGATAAGGTTGGAAGGGACCATAGTCAGTCATCTGGTCCAACCTCCCTGCTCAAGCAGGGTCAGTCTAGAGCACTTTACACAGGATTGCATCCAGACAGGTCAGTATCCCCAGTGAGGGAGACTCCACAACCTCTCTGTGCAGTCTATTCCAGTGCTCGGTCACCCAAACCATAAAGAAGTTCTTTCTCATATTCAGAGGGAACTTCCTGTGCATCAGTTTCTGCCCTTTGCCTCTTGTGCTGCAGCTTGACACCACCAAGAAGAGCCTGGCTCCATCCTCTTTACACTCTCCCTTCAGTTACATATATACATTCATATGGTCCCCTCTCATGGACATGGCTTATGGACAGTTGCTTGTCCACCAAGACTCCCAGGGCCTTCTCCACAGAGCTGCTTTCCAGCAGGTCAGCTCCCAACCTGTATTGGTGCACAGGAGGAACATTACCAGATCCCACTGTATAGTTATTCAAGATGGGTGACTAGTAACAGCAGGTGTTTGATTATGAACACTGATACTGCTAATTGCATTACTGTCACTGTCCGTTCTGCACAAGCAAAAAATGAGCTTTATAGCTCTGCCCACCTATTTCCTGACCCACCGCATAGCCTGTCATAGCCCACGTATGTCCACAGTGACAAGGAGATGGGGACAACAAAACACAAGCCCATGCCACAAACTTTGCCTTAGGAAAAGTGGCATGAAGCCAAGCTCAGGTGTGATGATTGGCTGGTGTTGGTTGTATTTATCCCGCCCCTTCCAAGTCCTTTGACTGATCCCTTCCCAGCTCCCTCACAAAGTTCAATGCCATGTTCAATACCATTTGCTCAAAATATTGTCTCCTTGGGTGTTTGTAGAGCTGAGAAATCTACAGCAAAGAGAGAGTGAGGAAAGCTGGTAGCCCTGAGTAAATGCGCAAAGAATGTGAGTTGCATCAAGGGTGTGGCTAATGGGGGTTTCTTCAGATTCAGCCATCTCTTGCTGTTTGCATCCAAAGCGGACACAGATAAGAATGATAAGAGATTGCAACACTGTGATTCTGCTAAACAACTACAGCTACCAATCCTTATTTAGGCTAGCAAATATAAAGTAAATCAGCCTTCCCTTATATCCACTCCTTATTTTTCACTAAGGAGGTATTTCTACCTTGACTCATTCTCCCAGCCCTGTTAGACAGTAAGAACCCTAATGTTTATAGACACTTCCTTGCTTCTCGCTTCTCTGTGACTCCAGAGATATGCCACTGAAATCATTACCTTGCATTTTTCCACAGGAAAACTAAGCCCAATAGCAAAGCTGTCACTGAAGAGAATGGAAAAAGAACTTTTCTGTCACGTGCTTTGAGGTTTTGTCACCAAAGTATTTTAACCACAGAGTAGATGGTAATTTTTATTTAAAGCAGAATAAGTCATTATGCTTTAGAAAAAATTCTATCACATTTTATTCAGCACTGCATAGCTAACTTATAAAGACATATGTGGCAAAGGCTGGTCAATTCAATGTGATTAATCCAACCTAAATCCCGGAGATACTACAACTGCACTGAAAGAAATCCCATAGAACACGGCCAGGCAACCAGTTGCCTTTTTTCTTTTGTCATACCTCTAACTTCCAAAATCTTTCTCAGGTAAATGTTTTCTGCAGCATGTTGGAGACCATCAGCAAGTGTGACTGTGCAGAAGAGCAGGTTCTGGAAAGCAGAGAGGTCACAAAGTGCCTGACTTCCTAGCAATGGCATCTTTATTTTCAAATGAGGAGGATCCAATGTAAATGCCCCTGGGGAAGGCCTTAAGGCAGTTTGGCAAACATAGCAATGTACAATACTGAAAACTGAGATTTGGGTAACACGGTGTTGGAGGATTGGATTTGTAAAGCAAAACAACTGCAACACAGGCCCTGACATCCTCATTGCATGTATTCCTGAGCATTTTAGTTCAGACTGCCTCTTGTGATCCTATGGACTAAGTATTCATTACTTGTCAGGGTATGTTATGTACACCCCCGGAGCACATCTTTCAGTTTAACTCCGTTTGGAAGAAACACAGGTTACTCACCCCAAGGGCATGGCACGAAGAGGATCACACTCAGAAACACACTCCCAATCCATATCAGAATGCTTTTACAAATTTTTTGTTTTACCCTCTTCCTTATTTTCTTTTCTCTTTGCCAATACCCTTGCCCACAATCTGCTGTTTCTAGAAAATAAAGAAAACAACAATGAAATATTTGAGTTCCTACCAAAGTTTTAACCTATAGAAAGCAAGACAGGACCTGGATCCCAACTTCAGTCTTTGAGGTTTCCAAACTGGGCTGACCTCAAACCCAGAACATAAACAAACCCAGTCTTTTACAGGTTACCTAGAAAACCACTTGATATGAAAATGGCAATGGGATGAGAATGCCAAGCACTTCCCATTACCCAGCAATACTATGAGATAAACTAGATGAAGTAAACCCATGGATAATACAAAACACGTATAAGAGCTCTAATGAAAAGAGTAGGCTGAAAACAGCCAGGCAGCTGTTCAGGGAGCTATTCGAGTGGCACACACCAGTGAACAGGCAGGCTGGGAGCCAGGGCTGGCCACTGCATCCACAGGAATCAGGTGCTGCTGCTGAATCAGAGCAAAGTTAGTTAGTCCACAAACCAGATAATCAAGAATTGACATCACATTTTAGATGCTGTCAAAACATAGCTACAGAAAGGGGTTGAGAGGGGTCACCTGTGTGCTCCTGATCTTTTTCTTCCTTCCTATTTATAACATGGTCCCCAATACACCTCAGGATATGTGTTTGATCTCAACGCTCTGGCATTTACTTCTTGAGCTCTAGACAGCTTTTCTGTTCAGACAGATGAGCAATTCTCCAAGCATTTCAGTAAACTTTCCAGAAGTAATTAAGATATAGCTGTCTCTGCAGCTTCCTCTTCTCCAAAGTCAGATTCAGTCCTTAAAATCCTCACGTGACATGACAGCAAGAGGATGTGAACCTCTAATCCATTCCGTGTGCACACTCCCACCTTCATCAGACCCTCAGCTACTAGTGTGTGATATCCTGCACCACTGGTAAGAATGCAATATCCTGGTGTAATAGAAAGCATACCATGAAACAGCCCGGGGATATATGAAGATAAAGAAACCTGTCTCCTGCCAATTTTTTTTTTTCTGAAATGGGTCAGATTGGATAGGTTATTTCACGTTCTCCATCATCCCATCTTCATAAGCAGCTCCCCAAACTACAAGCTCCTCATCATTTGATTTCATGCATTACTTCCTTTCCCAGCCACTTCTTTAGAACTAGAGACCCAGTTAATTTAAAAAATGAAACCCAGCGCAAGAGCATTAACTTTTCCAGACTTGCTTCCTTCCTGACCTCACTGCTTATTTGACTGTAAAACAACCGATGCTGCAGTTTTCAAAGAGGCAAGTGAGGACCACAATTTCTATTCCCAGTCTGTGGGAGTGGGAAAGCAACTTTGGCATAAATACATGAAATTTGAGACGTTAAATATATTTTAAACCAGCTCCTTTTGCTTTAAACCTAATTTCCTCTGAAGACAGAAATTTATCACCAATGACTCAAGTTTCCTCAAGGTTTTATCAATTTAAACTTCAATAATGTTCTTTCTTTGTGTGTTCATGCTACATTGCCTAGCCCTCGCTTACCCAGCCAGTGCTTACTCATGCAAACCAATAATTTGGCTTTTCTGGTTTATTTGGGTGAGTGCTTTTTCATTATGTCCCTTGCCCAATCTATTAATTTGAGATGAGGGTCTTGTGGGAATTAATTATAAGTCTGGACATGGATGAGTGGTTTAAGATTTTACCTGTTTTCTATAAGGTTGCAGCATGTAGAAATGCTTGTTCTATATGGAGCAAGTAACAAATGCCTGGGCCTCTCAGCAGTGGAACTGCTGGAGACTGGTTTTCTACAAATGATTTTGCTTTTTCCCCTTGTTGTCTGCCATCTACACTACCCTCCTGTGCCCTCCACACAGGATAAGAGACAGCCAGTATGGAGATGTATGCATGGTAATTGGACATGTGGGCTGAGAGTGACACAACAGATAGCTGCTGAGGCTGCAGTATCTCCTCTTTACATACCACCAGATTTCACAAGGCTCATGAGATCCTCACTCCTCCATGGGATTTGGTTAAAATTAGTTAACAGGGCTGGGGACCAATAGATGTAATGACTGCGTGCATCTTGCTTCCAGACTAAAAAATCAAAAGCCGGCAAGAAGCTGTGATTGTCTGACTTGAAACAGTTGAAATGTATCCTTGATGTCCTTTGTAGTGCCTCAGGAATAATGGCAGGTTTAGAGAGTGCAACTCCATGACCTTATTTGAATTGGAGCATACTGCAGTATGTCTAAATGCTCTCTCCAGGCTTGTTTTTTAAGTTTCAAGAGACTATATCAGGACATAGGTGCAGTCCAAGGTTTCCAAAGTTGTTACAGCTAATGAGAGACGCATATGTGCTCCATGATTCTGATGTTTGTGATTTACAGATCTGCTCCTGACCTTTGTTTTTATCTCTGCATCTCACCCCTGAAGCTAACATAAAGTGCAACAGAAGCCAGATCTACTTGAACAAGCCCACACAGAAGTCAGAAGGCTTCCCTGCAGTTGACCACGGGCTCACGTAGACTTCCCTCAGGAAAGGAAACCAAGGAGATCGCCTTTCATTTACAGTTTCTCAAGAACCAGAAGATTGACTGTAAATGAACACCAGGCTTATATGAGTACAAAGAGGAAGGCAAGAGAAAATAAGAATGACAATGAAAAGGTCTCAACTGGGAGCCCATCGGTTCTTCTCTGGGAGACCTGCACAGTTTACTAGTGCAAAAAGGTAAAAAGTCTGTCCCAAAGTTGGTAAATTGCTGTGTGTGGCCTAAAAAAATTAGGTGCTGAAGTAGGAGCCAGAGCTTCAAAAGCTGGAAGTCTGTATGAGCCTAACTCTCCCTATGTAAAATGGGGATAACAAGTAGCACAAATACATAAACAGTTTTTAAGAATAACAATAACTACATGGTGCTTTACAGACAGGAGAGGCTTTAGGAATGCTAAGTATTCTTAAAATCTTGACCTTTCACCATGATTTTGGTTTGATATCTCTGAGATGGGGTTTTCTGTTTGAGGGAACCCCTGCACTCTCACTTCTTTAGTGAAGCTTCTTCCCTGAAGTAGAAAGTCGATGGGCAAAGTCGATGAGATACAGCATTGGCATTGCTTCTCTGATCACTCTAATTACTAATGTGGTGACAAGAGCAGTATAAATCAAGCCAGTTCAGCCAAGAGTTCTTACCACAGGCTGGTTAACCACTACATTAGTACGAACAGCTGACACTTAATTTTCTAGGAGGAATTAAAACAAAGGTAAAAGCTTGGAGGAGGCCATTTGTTTGTATGCGTGGGGAAGGGTAGGGGGAACATGAGGCCATGAACAGCAAACTCCATGGTTTCAACTAGTATAGATGCTTCAACCCTCCCTTTTGGCCTTGATATAGAGCCCACTGAGACTTACTCAGAGCCTAATGTGAAAAGGGGCACTGAACTTAGGTGGGATTTGCTACATAATGGTTGTGTATGTGCCTATAGGCCAGTCCAAAGCACACAAATAATTCACTGCCATTGGCAATCAGAGTGAAATGATGTATTTGCTTTCTTTCCATTTTAAAAAAAAATCCAGCCTTAGCATTTTAAATAGCAGCATTTCTCTAGGAAAAGCATTTGTTTACTTTAGTGCCAGTAAAATTCCTCAGAAGGACAGTCTGAGAAGTAGAAAGCCTCGTCTTATTCACATAACAAGTCCTGCAAGCTCTCTTCCAATGTTTCACCAATATGCCTCTACTCAAGGCCGGAAGATTAGACTTCATATTCAAAACAGCACAGATGTTTTCTTTAAGAATTAAATACCACAGCGTCTTTATAAATCTGGGTCTAACACAGAGAACTACCTCTAACACAGAAAACTACCACACAAATAGCAATGGCATTGCTAATCAGCACCGGTTTTGCTGGGGACAAGGCCAGGACATTGGGAAACTTGTGCTGCTGACACCTGCCCAAGAAGAGCAGAGCTCACTGGCCATCTTCTGCAGGCCCCATAGCCCACACGCCACAAGAACCTTATTTTACCGAAGGTTTCTCCCCTTGGTGCCCAGCTGTGCTGTGAAACTCATTGCCATAGGATGTTGTGATGCATATGAGCAATGCATAAAAGAATTCAAGTTCCTTGAGGGCTGTTAAATACAGGGACAGAAGCACAATCGTTTTCTCAGGAAAGGTATAACACCACAGCAGCCACTAGGATTGTTTGGGATGGGGAAGGAGAGGTGTCATGGAAACACAAATTTCAATTTGACACAGTACAGCTCCTCTTGCATCGAATTAATACTGGCAAGCAAAAGTGGAAGTCCTTAGGCACTGTTCTCCAGCTTTTAAGGCATTTACATACACAGAACACCTCTTCTTCTTCCTCTGGGGAGTGAATGGTCTTCATCCACCACCACTGGAGCTAGTTTTAAACAGCAGAGAAGGCTTGTCCCTTGTGTCAACTCAGGAGCTGCTCTCTCCCAGAACTCACAGAGTGGGACACACATTCTGTCCAGCTACAGAAGATAGTGGCGGAGTGTTGGGTGTATAGGGACTGCCATATCCTTGAGCTATCCATAGAGGTGGGGGATAATTTGAGTTGGGTTCCCCTGATTTGTCTCCGATACCAGGCTGCCGCACGCATGTTTCTGGCTGTTGGCTTCATTCCCACATGACACTAACCTACCCAGGATCTGTATGTGTGGGATCAGATCAACCCAGAAGTACAGGAGGGGAAGAGACAATATTTGGCCCTAATTTTACAGGGAAAGGCTCTAAAGCTTACCATGTGTTAAGTAACACTTCATTTCACCAGGAGCTTCCCTAATCTCAAAGGCATTACTCATGGAGGAGGGACCTACTCACCATGAGTAAAGGCTTTGGAATCTGGCCTTTAGTGTGGAGCTTTATGATAGCAATACTGAATATGTAAATCTCTGCTTTGTACAATATGTGCATGACATTAGGAAAACACTGCATAACAAAGAGCAAAATAAGGAAAGCATGTCCAGCACCTCAGTCTACATTCAAGCTTGCCCAGGTTATCTCAGCCCTGCTGATTTACAGGGCCATGAGGCAAGCTCTTGATCTTGTGTTCAAAAAAGTTGCAGGAACAAGATGCTGTCAAGTTATTTAAGGAATGTGGTTCTCTAAGAACTTATCAATTGCAATTTTGAACAGCACTAAGAAAAGAGACCAGCCTCTATAGGCACACATATGGCTTCCACAGATCCTAGCAGAGCCTCACGAAAGATGAGGATACTCAGGACCATGAACACCTGTGGCTTGACCTTCCTTTATCTCAAGCATCAGATTCCTCAGAATACCTTACAATGACAGAGAAAGAAAGGCAACAGAATTTGATCTTTGAAGACTTCTGGATGCATATTGCTTTGCTGTGGAAAAGCAGCATATACGAAACAGAAAGCATCTTTTCTGCTCTGCCTGTTGGGTATGCCCAGTGATTTAACCTCTCTGCTAGTACCACTATAAAAGAAGAGATCAAATTCATCAACTTATAGCCTCAGGATTTATGTTTTTAACTGATTTTGCAGGGGAGGCAGAAAGGGAAGGAAAAGGAATGGAGTTTGTTTCAAGCTTGTCTGTTCTCTTCATATAAAAAAAAAAAGTAGGAAAAAGACTCTTTTAATTATTTTTCCTGTAACAGAATGGGATTCAATGGATACACAGCCACTACACAGGTAAGTGTTGAAATTATGTTGTATATCACAAAAATACACATAGGTTCCTTGACTCCTTTAGTTTCGTATGTGGCTTGTAGTTCACAATCTACGAGATGTGAGAATGTGGTTAAGAGCAGAGAAATGAATAAAAAAACCCCAACATGTTATTCTAATGGGCAAATTCTTCACTCTACACCATATTATCTCACTAACTCTACACCATATTATCACTCTACACCATATTATCTCACTAACTCTACTTGAAATTAGACAACATCCAGTCTGAATATCTGCTCAGTTCCTGCCCTACACAGAGGTGTCAACAAGAGGGCACAAGCTGATTTTTATGATGTGAATCAAGTCTGGTGGAAACTATTACTTCTTAAGTTTCAGCAGTGGGTTGTTCCAATAGATGGTATAAAATAAAGACTATCCCTGCCCTAGGGGGTTGCAGTCTAAAAAAAGACCAGAGGGAAGTATTTGCCTCTTGCAAAGTGATTTATTCAGTTGATTCTCTGAGTTTATAATCTACTTTGAAGGTGGGCACATTTGTTGTGTAAGTTTTCGTTTCTGTGAGAAGCTCAGAATAGGCCATACTGATAATGTATGCTGTTTCCAGAAATTATGTTTGGTTAAAAAAAAATTCAAAAGATTGTTTCCTGTCTGTTCAGACATTTTGAAGTTGAAATTATTTAATTTATTGGTTAAGAATGAATTTTATTTCTAGACTTCTTTGAATAATGTTGCTAAAGAAAACATCTTATGAACAAAATGTGTCACTCCCAGAAGTGATTCCTTCTACGTTTTTGTTTTACTGAAAAATTCTGGGAAAAAACTATTTTAAAAAAAATTCCAAACCTGAAAGCTGCCAAACAGCCTGCTGTTCAGTAAATTCTGCCATAATAACCCAAACTAATAATTTCAAAAAAGAGTGATCATTATAAACAAACCTGCATCAAAGCAGAGGGCTGGACTAATTGTTGGATTGGGTAATCTGCAGGACTCTGATTTAGCATTCGAAGTCATAATTGGGTCCATGACCACCTGCTTTGGTCACTGGAAATGAATGCAGCTGGACTTGGCTGGTCACTGTATCAAACATTTGCTGAAGGATGCACATGAGCTTGTTAGCAGTTAGTTGTTGTTCAGGCTTTAGTCGAGTAAATTGTTGCTGAGCTTAAGTCTTGCTGTCAATAACAGCAGAAGTGGTAAAGGAAAGAAATAGCATTTCCTCTCTCCATTGCCACAGGGCTTTCTGAAGCACAACGGCATAAATGCATGATAGATAATCTACAATTCAGAATGCTTCCTGCACAGAGGAGGCAAAAAAAGTAACATGGCTTAGTGGGGACTGTAGGCTTTGTGTCAGACACCTGGTGTACCAGTGCACGCCTCTGCCAATTACTTGCTCTGTATCCTTCAGCAAAGGGCATAGCCTCTGACCCTGCACTTCACTTTCCCTTAGATAATGATATCTACCTTCTTTTTAAAAAATATTCTAAAATATACATGTAAGATAGGTCGGATCATTACAGAGCAGGCACACAAACAAATATATACACACCCAGACAAGCCATAGTGATACATAAAATGCAGACACTCCCATGCACAGAAATGTACTGATGACCTTAGGCTAATGACTGAAGTCTGGGTGGTACTGCTGGTATTCGCAGAGCACACACTCACATAGCTGTGCAGGTCTGCGCAGGCAGCCAACCAGCCCTTTTGCATGACGTTGGCCAGCGCTGGTGTTCCCGGGCACGCTGAGCCATTTGGGGTAGCTGGCAGCTGCTGGGATGCTACTGGGCAGACAGCTCTGCTAGCTCTTCTCTAGCCTCAGAGGGGAGAGCTTATAGTCATAATGAAGGAAGAGGGAAAACAGTTCCCACTTTCTGGAGAGCTGGGATTTTTATTTACTTATTTGTCATAGCTGCTATTTAATTTAAAGACCTTATGTATGTAGCAGGAGCCTCACTAAAGTAAATGTGGCACAGCTGGTGGCCAGGTTCCAGAAGTGTGTCTTGTTCAACACTTTCCACAGTAGCGAATGGCCTGGCCTTTTCCATGTGGT